AGAGAGAGAGAGAGAGAGAGAGAGAGAGAGAGAGAGAGAGAGAGAGGTTCGTGTTCATACGATCATGACCCAAGGAAAGGAATGGTTTTTCGTCATCAGTGTAATTTTGGTCAAGATTTTCGTATCTTTGAATGTGTTAAAGATTCTTCATCACGGGTTTCCACTTGATTTTCCTAGAAAACAAAATCATATTGCCAGTCACTCGAAGCAGTCAGAATTTTCCAGCAATCGCATGACGCACAATTTCAGAAAAGACAATCAAAGGTTCGAATACTGAATCCACGAAAAACAAACCTGACAGGTCTTCAACCCACAAAGAACAAAACAGAGAATTCTTTAGCCCACAAAGAACAAAACCGACAATTCTTGACTAGACGAGGATCGATCACCATGGAGGGGGTAATAAAATAAAATAATATCTAAGGTAAAATGCGTGCTTATTGGATAAGTACAAGCAGCTCTCAAGATATGGCAAAAAATACTTCCGAGGTTCACTAAACTAAGAATTTTTTTTTTTGGGGCTTGCAACTTTATGATCTCTCACGTTTAAGCTTTACTGGCCGTCCATGGCCAGCGTTTCTGGGTCTTCCAAGTCTCACCATTTTGAGAGGTCTAGACAAGACTACTTAAGACGCCAAAACCAGGATAGTGATGTCTTGCTTTTGACCTTGACGAAAGTTTTCTTCTGCCTCATTTCGTGGAAACGCCTTGGCACATGGCGCTTTCAAAGTTGCCGCTAGGTAGGGGCAATGACCCAGAGGTAGGGAGGGAGGGCGGGAGGGGGAGAGAGAGAGAGGACGGCGCTAGCTAACGGTGAGTGGGAAGCATGCATTTAAGCACATGGAGGAAACGACGGCGCCAGGTGTCTGCTTTCTTAGTTACAAGCCATTTTCCTTGCAGCTGACGGGACGCCATACACGTGGAATGCTCATCTAAGCTTGTTCCTACCCTGGTGGTAGAGGAGCTTCCTAGTAAGATTTTAATGGTTTTTCAGTACTCCCAGTCTCTGTAGTTTCCCGCAAGGCGGAAGAAGAAGGAAGAGACGAGGATGTAGAATTCCCGTCTCCGTAGTTCCTTTTTCCACGCTGCCCGGATATTTCTTGAATTGGCTGGTTCTAGACACTGTTGCTCACTCGTGTCCACAAACGGCTGGATTATTTGCACCCAGCTGTTGCCGAAGGAAATTTCACAGAGAGGCCCACCTCCTATCCTCTCAAACCCCCGGCAAGAAGTGCCTCCATAGTCCTCCTCTCTCTCTCTCTCTCTCTCTCTCTCATATTCCATCTCTATATCAATGCCTTTGCGATGCTGCGAACGTTTCGCCCCAGTACAGAGGAATCATCTCCTTGCTCAATTAGACAGGAAAAAGAGGGTGCTGGGTCAGGTGAGAGGGAGTGTGTGTGTGAGAGAGAGAGTCATGAGCAGGTTACCTCCAGGTCTCCGCTTCTACCCCACGGAAGTAGAGCTGGTGACGTTCTACCTGCGGAACAAGCTGGCAGACCGGAGCCCGGAGATAGATCGCTTCATCCCCGCTGTGGACGTTTACAGTTTTCATCCCATGGAGCTTCCTCGTGAGCATCTCCTCCGGCTCTTTGCTCTTCTCTTGCTCACCACGGCTACACGTAAACAGTTGCAATCCCCAGCGGTCCGCACATCTTCTCTCTGTGAAGATGAAAGGGTGCAAATTGAAGTAAAATAGAGGAATTAGGTTTCTTCAGCGACTGACCATGGAGAAACTGATGGAGGATAAGAAGTATTATAGAGGCCGAAACACCCAATTTATAACGTTAACTAGAAATTTAGCTGTTTTGAGTACACAAGAACTTGGATAGCTTACATACCCCTTCCCGGCCTCTCACTCCAGCGTTACAATGAGTTTGGAAAGATCTAAAGTCACCCTTGTGGATAGCAGTGATTCCTCCTAAGCAACTGCATCGATTCGTGTTATATTTATCTTCCTGCCTTCCAGATCCCATGTTAAATAATGGTCATATCTCATATCGTGCCCACTTTCTACCTTTCATACTTGACTCCATCTTAAGCGGCCATGTGATTCCTCGTGCAGCGATCTCCGGAGAAGCATCGATCGGGGACCCGGAGCAGTGGTTCTTCTTCTGCCCTAGACAGGAGAGGGAGGCCCAGGGCGGGAGACCAACCCGCACCACTCGATATGGCTACTGGAAGGCCACCGGCTCCCCCACACAAGTGATCCATGAGGGCCGCCCTGTCGGCAGACGGACGACTATGGTCTTCTACGAAGGAAGACCTCAAAGTGGACGCAAAACCTCCTGGAAAATGAACGAGTATACCGCATACGATGAGACGTCAGCTCCTGGTGCAACTCAAAGGGTGAAGTCCTACACCTTCACCTGGGAGGGGGAAGAGGGGCTATAGTAGGGACCTTGTTGCAGCCCTCATACTCTATTGTTTTGTTTGAATAACCTGCTTCAATTATCGTTTCAGGTGCGAAGGGAGTTCTGCCTATGCCGATTGTACAAGAAGACCGAGGGGCAGAGGTCGTTCGACCGGAGGCCCACCGTAGCGGCGCTCTCCAAGGAAGCCGGAGACATGAACATTGGCGTCTCCAATACCCCTGCCGTCGGGAACCTGACAAGAACTGCGGCAGAAGAGGAGCTCTATACTTCGTTTCCAAACGAGCAAGAACAAGCCTGGGCAGGGATCCACGATATCACGGACGAAGAGTGGGACTTGAGTCTTTTGTTGGGAACCGATCATGAGTCCTGATGCGAGCAGACTCCTCAGTCAGCGTCGGGACAGGAGAGGAGCAGCGTCCCGACTGGTAGGGGGACCAAAAAGATTAGGAGCATCCCAATGGATGAAGACGTATATCTTGTTTGCATCTCCTTGACAAGTGTTTGAAAATGCGTGTAATAAGTGGAATGTTTGACGCTTGGCCTTATTTGTGAACCAGCCAGTCAAGCAATCTCACAGCTGGTTTGGCCTAAATAGAAATCTGTAAGGCTTCGAATATTCTTTCTACTACATTCGACAACCCCGTTTTTCGCCCAAAATCTTTGCACCACTCACATGTTGACTTATAACTAAGTTTCTTATTTAACTATGCTTGCTGTTCAGTATTAGTGATATATATATATATATATAATATTATTATCCTCATTTTATTAAAAAATTAAATGAAAACCTTATGTACAGCGCGGTTATTGTGACATGGTGCAACAGAAATCCAGGAGAAAGCCATTTCAATTCACACATTGTTGTGTCAATGGGTTCGAACAAGTCCATTTCGCTTAGATAAACAAATACGGGATGTATTCAAATTGTGCGACGAGCGCTGGAGGCTGTCTAATTTTGGCACCTCCTAACTAAGTTACGGTCAAAGCATGAGGCCATAGAACTCATTGTATGGTTCCCTTTTTTTATTTTTTTTTATTTCGAGTTAAGCATAGAGTGGACAGCTTATGATTATTCATCACTTTGAAGGAGAAGCATACATGACTGAACAACAGGAGATCCCTAACTAATAGGTCAGTATCTTAAAGTGATTGAACCAAGCTTAATGATCTTATTTCAAGTGGTGCAGACAGTTGGCTCGGTTTTTTTTCTTGGAAATAAAGGCGATCATGGATCAGTTTTCGTCTGAGCGGTTGTAACTGGATTGTTTTAACGTGATTATCTTTCCAAATTTAGAGAACATGAACTCATCATCTAACTCATACTTTCCATTGCGCTACTTATGAGTGGAGGGACGAAATGATACAAGAAGCGTTCTGCTGGCGTTTTGGATCCTCGGTTTCACATCGCGGAAGAAACCACATGCGCCACCGTTTGGGCTTCTAAGACTGATGTGCACGCATATAAGTGATGACCAGATAATCCTATAAAGTTTCCTTGAGGTGCACAGGTCCCATGGAGCGCTGCTCATGCACCTTTTTCATGCTATCGTCACGCAACAGATAAGTTATCTTAGATTTTCACCATCAATAATTCATCTCGCATATAGAGTAGCGAGATGAAAGGCTACTCTCCAGCCGCAACCCTCAACAGATTCTCCCCGTGACGATTGACAGCTTGTTCGTTTCCTTTCCTTTCTGTAGTTGAAATGCTGTCGTGTTCTTCGTGTGGCTCAGAGATACTTCAATGCTCCTCATCATCTTTCCAAAACTGAAGCAGACGGAGTCAGGGGAAGGAGCGGAAAGGATATCAAATTAGGAACGGGGACTTTCCACTGAGCGAGAAGTCCTTATCCGGTGAAGACGAGGTTGCAGCTGTACCACTTTGAATCGAGGAAGTGGATAGTGATGGTTGCCACTTGACTCAAAGAATCAATGTGCACCTATGAACTTTTCTGGGGTTCTTCCACGAGGGCCGGTTTACGTGACAACAGCTCTCGTTCATCGGAAATTTCTCAGGAAGTCCCACACCCCACTGATCGACTCCCCGACTGATTTGAGAGGTCTGGAGGCCGGGAGGGACAAAGGAAATGGGAAGCCTGCTTCCATGTTTCGGCTTCTACCTGACGGAGAAAGAACATGTGACGCTCTACCTGCGGAACAAGCTGGAAAAACGGAGGCCAGAGGAAGATCGCTTCATTCCCGTTGCGGGCGTTTCCTCGTTAGACTACCCATGGATCTTCCTCGTTAGCATCTCCTCAGAGATTATTTCCCCGGCTGTTTTCGACTCTCCTGTTTATCACGTGAACAGCTAATTAGTCGTTCCACCGGGATTGCGATCCTTAGCATCGATACAAAGAGACGAGCAGCGGCTCTACTGGTCGGGATACCAAAATGCTTAGCTGAAGTGGAGTAAAGACGAAGAGCATGGTTTTAGGCTACCATCACAATGGTTCATATAATCCGTATGATCGGTGAAATAAATGTAGTATTTGGGGTTTGCGTGCGATGTCGATCGAGAGTCTAACAGACGAGCCACCTGTCAGTTAGGTCGCCTCGTTGACCTAACTGTTTGTTTTTACAGCTGGATCTTTTTTTCTCGGTGACACGCATCATTCTGGCCTGAATAGATACTTCCATTCCGAAAGTAGAAGAGGCCAACGAGGTCGCCGTCTTACTGAGTGGGTTGCCCTATCTCTTGCGACCTTCCGCCACTTCAGGCGATTGCGGGAACACTGCAGACGACCTAAGGAGGTCCACTATATGCTTCTCAGTGCTTGCCCTCCGAAATGGATATGCCCTATGGTATTTATGAGGCGGCACTTCTCCCGGGATTTTCTACAAGACTCGGCGGTGCTGCCTTGTGGCTTTCAAGCTAGTTCCGAATATTCCAGTGCGCTCCTGTTCACCTGACTCCAGAGGGCTTTACCCCGGCCACCGAACACATGGGTGGCTGGCGAGCTTCCTCTTCATTGCTTAGCAAGTCCGTCCGGGACGGAAGATCTTTGCTCCTCATTGAATCGAACTCAGGCTATTTTATAGCCACGTTAATTCCCTTGGCATGCTTAAGAAGTAAAGTATGAGAATAGGTTGAACTACTACAAAATCTCAGCATCTAGCGCGATTGTTTCATCGCACATTATTTTCAGTGCATCACCACATTTACATGGCAAAAAGGATCACCCGACTTATTGGAAATCAGTTTCTGCAGCCCTCAGACAAAGCACCTGAAAGAAAAGGACACCAAACTCTAAATTGATATTCCAGCTCAGTAAAATAATATATTTAAAAGCATTATTTAATAGGCAACTCTTGATATGAGACCATTCTAACATCATTAAAAAACGAAATATTCATATAAAAATAAAATATACAGGGGAACCCCTCCTCGTTGCCATTTACGTGTCATGGAACCACCAAACAAAGAAGATAATAAACTGCATTGGTACCAAAGGCTCCACTTCTTTAGAGACCTCCGGCTCTATATCTTCATTATATACCTAACTTTGGAAAACAGAATGCCTTCAAAGGCTTACATGTCAAGATTACATTCTCCAACATGCGAAGATGAGGTAAGATAAATGCAAACATGCTTTAAATTAGAAAAAAAATATGTAGAAAAAAAAAGGTTTGGCTGATCAGAAGATTAAATTATCTTCACTGAATGAGTAAGCGAGAACCAAGAAATCTGTAATGAATGGGTGATTTGCGCGAGTGACCGTACCGACGGTAACGGCTTTGTTTAGGTTCATATAGTGATCGTGACATCAATGGCATGAGAATCTTGGATCCACAAAGCCAACCGGACACTTTAGGTGTATGTAGTATCATTTCGAAGATCAATTAAATGATGTCACACCGAGTATTTACGGGTGAAATAATGATTCGTGAAATAAAGATATTCATGTGCAGATGATCCAATCACAGTACTTTAGACAAAAAATCAAGACATGATCGATATTCCAAAAAATTTCACCACTATGTTCAAGAAAATAGGTCAAATGAAGCCTCCTTCACACCGTATTGGCCTCCTATTCATTGTATCCATCTAGGATGCAACCGTAGTGAGTAATTAGCGACAGAGTTGCTTTCTGCGGAGCAATAAAAGGTAATATCATTATAGCATTGTTATACCTAAACTCGAAAATACAAAGATTATTTACAATGCTTTTATTGACATTTTTGGAAGAATCAAATAGATAAGGTACGAAATAATATAAATTTTCATGTTGAACAAGATGTTAGATACGTATGAAAGCCTCAAATATTTACAGAATACCAATACATATATTTTCAACTGATTCTTATTCATCATATCTGTATAGAGATGGAACATCTCCGAATAATTAGCTACATCTATCTAGCATTTTCTAGATTGCAAAGGAGATCGACAACCATAGTTTTACGGGTGCGCATGACACAAGCGGGCACACAAGTGTTCTTGGAGATAAGAGGTTGCAGTGTTAGGCTGTTTCAAGTTACTGGTAATTTACCTATGCTACTTGCTGTTACTAATGTTGGTTTTCTTATGCTATGACAGGGAGTACAAATCACCTTCAATTTTTGGTGTAATTGTAAGCTTAGTCGGACTCGCCTAGCCCTAGTATATAAGAGTCTAATGGCTCGTCTTCTTCCCCTTGGCACTGTTACTCGGGTACCAAACAAAACAAAACAAAACATAACTATTAGTGGAGATCGACACAAAACAGTGATACCTAACTTTTTGAAGAACAAAGGAGGGTAGAAGGATTATATGAACTATGTGGCTTGGAAATTTGGATGTTACATAATAGCTCTAATGCCCTGTTATTTCTCCCGACTCCAACATGACGCTATCCCATTATCTCATGCAAACATGTATTCCCCCAACGTTCCTCCCTCTTTCCTAGTTATTGATGGGCCATTCGTTATTGTGGTTCTTCATAAGAAATAACAATTCTTATGCTAATTAAAAAGTTAAAAAAATAAATCTGATCTTCACATTGAATAATCAAATAGTATGGAAGATGGGGTCAGGAGGACTAGTATCTTCTCTTGTAGTACTCTTTGAGAACCCGGAGTAGTGATGCTTCTTTTGCCCTCGACAGGAGAGGGAGACACACTCTCGAAGAGATGTTTGGGACATGGAGATGTGGTTCTTTTGCTGTAAGCAAGAAAGCAAGATGCACACCGGAGAGACCAACATGTTAGTATTTAATGCAAAAAAGAGGACATTGTTTCATCCTTATTAGGTGGTCTTTGTCTTTTAGTGGGCTTTGGTTTCTTTATCATTAGTGAGCCAAAAAGGGGGCTGGCCCACATAAGGTAGTTAAGTGTTATAAATACTTTCTCTCTCCTTAAGAAAGATCATTTATGACATTTCTTATTTTCTAGGGTTTCAATGTGTGCAAACTTTATTATCTTCTCTCTTCCTTTTTTCATCATTATTTTCAAAAATCAACATATTCTCTCTAAGTTTTTGTGACTTTATTTTCCTTCAAGTGGTTTCATAGCCAAGTTCATGGATTGGGCGTTGATCTTCCGTGGAGAGCATAACATCATTCGAGGAGATTAAAATTTGAAGTTGGTGAGTATCTTTTTTAACTTTTAAAGATTTTCTTATCGTAGCAAGGAGTCTATAATTTCTGTAAACAAGTATTATAATTAACCTTGAGAATGACAAATGGTAACCCTATTTAACCTATCACAACTCTTGTCCTATTTTTAAATGGAGAGAAGTATGATTTTTAGAGTGTTAAAATGAAGATATTTTTTATTTCACAAGATTTATGGGAGTTGGTTGAGAATAATAATAACGTAGGAGAAAGTTTTAAACAAGAAAATAAAGATTTTCAAAAAAAATAAATGCTAAGTTATTATTAGTTTTACAACAATCTATTTCAGAAATAATCTGATGGAGTCAACATGAGGGTTCATTCCCTTAGGTGGACCCACAAGGAGGAAGAAGAGGGAGGAGAAGAGGCCATGTCACCCATTCGGGTACCCCTTCTCCTTCTCCCCTAATGAAGAAGCCTCTCACTCCAAGAGACACCACTTGGCATCCTTTGAGAGGGGATGCCTCTAACCACCTTCCTCTCTTTCTTATCAATATTCAAACTCACGAATACTTACTTTAAAAGTTGAAGTTGAATTCGAAATCAAGAAGATTCTTGTTATCCCTCTCACCTCTTGGATCAGGGTTTCTTTCTCTCATTTACCTCTTGGATTAGGGGTTCTTTCTCTCTCATTTACCTCTTGGATTAGAGGTTCCTTCTTCTTCTTGTTCTCTTAGATTATGGAGACCTCTCTCTCTTTCTCTTTCCCCATATCGTCTTCGTTCCATCCCGTTCGCTAGCCCTCCCTTTCCTCTCTCCTACCACTACAGCCGTTCCACCCTGTTGCCGCTGTTCCGCCTTCTAGCCTTCCGCCCTGTCACCAAGCCCATCTTTCTTTCCTCTCCCACTGTCACTGCCATTCCGCCTCTTCACCGTCCGCCCTGTCGTTGTCGTCCCGCCTCCTCATCGTCCGCCCCATCGCCGCCGTTCCGCCTCCTCGTAGTCCGCTCTGTCGCCGCCATTCCACCTCCTTGCCGTCTACCCCGTCGTCGCCATTTCTCCTCCTCGTCGTCGCAAACCCTTTCCTTTCTCTCTCTTACTATCGCTACGAAACCCCTCTTTTCTCTCTCTCCCACCGACGTTCTCATTTCGCCCCTTTTCTCCCTCCGCCCTTTAGTTAGTATTTTTTTTTAAAAATCACCTTCAGTTCTCGTCCGCACGAGAACCCTCTTTCTTCTCTCTCCCGCCGTCGCCACGTACCCCCCATTTTCTCTCTCGCTCTCTCTCTCTCCTGCCAATGGCCTCTCATTCCACTCCCTTTTTATGTCTTCACCTTTTCTTTTCTTTTTTCATAATTATTTTATTATTTCACCTCAGTTTTGGACCTCGTTTATACCTCCCAACCCAAACAACCCATGTCCTTCGAACCACACCAGTCCACTCCTTAGTACGAACCACTCGGTTTGAACCTTGGAAAATTACTAACAAAGCTCGTGGAACTTGAATCAATAAGAATCTTCAAGATATCAAAAATTTTCATGGCAAAGGTGTATTGATTTTCAAATTTTTTGTGAAGTTGATCATTATTTTTAAATATTTGATCTTATAATTTGTGAGATTCATAAGATAGCTGCCTTTGTGTGAAAGATTAGTGGTCTAAATTTTGGTTGAGAAGCCTTATTTGATTCTTTGAATTAGATAACCCAATAGGTAATTAATGATCTTAATTCTCCTAAAATCCTGGGATTATCCAGATATTAAGTCATCATCCCTTGTGTAGCTCTTTTTTAAGGAGATTTATTTTGGCCCCTTTGTCCCGCATCATAATCTTTCAATGTATTATTAATGTCATGTTTTTTTTTTAAGCATATAAAATTTTAAAAATGAATTATGTAGAGACAACGGAGTTATGAATCAATGCATGGTTTTTTTTCTAGTGTATATGTTATTATAAATTAGATAAGAATATTTGGAGAAGATATTTTAGAAAGGAGAACCACATAATGTTTTTTAAGAAGTTCACCTTATTGTAGCTGTCATTGAACAATCTAAAGATTTATCTATTTATACTCAAAAGAAATTAATTGTAACACTATTAGTATATGAAGAACAAATGAATAGACCAATAGAAAAATCACTTAACAAACATTTTTTTAAGTTAAGATTGAAATTTCAAAGAAGTAAAAAGATATTGAAGGCACATACAATCAACGAGGTCATGATAGATGACACTATTAAATTAGAGGCTAAGAAAGAGTACATGATTGATCACATTATGGGCAGTAAAGAAATGACAAAGGACATCAACAAAAGTAGAAACACAATTATAGAGTTATGTAATATCATTTTTATAAGAAATATGGTCATATTAAAGTATGTTATTGGGACAAAGAAAAATAAAATAAAATAAAGAAGTTCTAAATCAATGTGTAATTTTTTTCAAAAAGTATGATCATATTGAAGTAAATTATTAAGACAAGAAAAGAGAACAAGTTAATATTGTTGAAGAAAATGATCAAAAAAAATTATTTATCACTTATGTATCTTCAAACTCAAGTAAATCAAATATATGATTATTGATAGTGGTTGTAGTAATCATATGACAAGTGAAAGAAATTTATTTCAGAATGTTGATACTTCTATGATTTGTAATGTTACTATTAGTGATGAAAATAGTGTGGGAATGAATTACCATCCATACAAAATTAAGTGTAAATATAGTAATTCATGATGTTTATTTTGTTCTAAAGTTGACACACAACTTACTTAGTGTCAGTCAATTATCAAAATGTAAATTTATTGTTCATTTTGAAGACAATATATGTGTTAAAGTATTAGAAGAGTGACATGTCTCTTATGGTGATTCCTAAGGTTGGAAAATAAATATTTTATGTTGATATTTTAAGATATTGATTTGGAACATGATTAAAAATGAAAATGATTCATCTTCACTTTGGCATTTACGTATGAATATTTATATTTTAATTGGTTATACGAGACAAGAAATTCTTTCTTGAGTGGTCATACAAAATAGATTATGATTGCACATAAAATTAGGATTAAAAAAAGAAAAGGGAAACATGTCACCAGTCTTACAATCAAGAGGTTTGCGCACTACTGTTTTTGCAAACAATGGAGACTTAAGAGGTGATGTTCCAATTACTAGAGCGTCGTAAGCAGGACAAAGCTAACTTACATGGTAGTAGTTCCAATAATTCTGTATGCATTATCGAGAAAAATGGAAGCCAACACAGATCTCTCCCATTTAAACAACAAATGACAGAGTGTGCACCGTTCGAATCTATGACCATGCAACTGATCAAAGTGAAGAGTTTTATTTTTTTCTGACCCATGGGTTATGAAAATTTGATTAAATTCTTTTTTTAGCAAAAGCCTATTAATGTCTGAACTCACTACTAGTGGAGAAAACATCTCCCCACATCTACTTTTCCTCTGAAAAGAAGAATAATTAATTTAGGTGGGGACAGGAGGAGAAAGACAATACTTTCAAGCATGGAAAAAGTCTCAATTTTTCTGGGTCACATCCTGGATAGGAAGCACACCTTCAAGCAACGATGAACACGAGAATTGCCCCCGATAAATATCTAAAGCAGCAGTACTCCAGAAAGCTGCGTGCTTCGATACGAATGAACTCAGCAGAATGTGCTTCGAATGTCTTCTACATCTTCCACCCGGTTTGCCCAATCATCCTTCCCAAGCAGTGGCCCACATGTCATAGTAAAAGACTAACCATTACACCGGAAATTCGTAATAAAGGACGGACTTGAAAGAATGGAGATAATTTTGTAGTTACCGACCGAATTTACTCAACAGAGACGGCTGCTTATAAAGAGAGGATTCCGTTGGGCGTCTTCCGATTAACGGTCTTCTCAGGAATCGCCATCACTTCTTCGTCAATCTCCACATTCTCCAGGTTCGACGGAGGACGGGACCTTATTCCTGGCCAAGAACCGACGAGGGGGCCGGCGGCCTCTGTGATCACCGTCGGGGCCTTCAGAAACCACGAGGTCAGCCTCTCCTGTACAGCATCTTGCGCAAGAAAACTGGAGAAATAAGAGAAAAATGGTAGAAGCAGAGGAGGAGGTGGGGTGAATAGGGAGCCAGAAATCCGAACAAGAGAAACAACAACTCACCTGGGTCGACATTTTGCAAGTTCCATCTGTCTCCCAAGGACCGGCAGGCTACCCATCTCGTGAGACGGGGCCGGGGGGCCGCGCGCCGGAGGCCGAGGTGGACCGCGGGAGGGCGGAGGAGAAAACAACGGGCCCGGCCCTTGAGAACGCCAGAAAACGGGCTTCGGGGGGCTATCATTTGTTATGAACGGCCCTCGAGCCCGATAACTCAAATTCAGCTCTTTCCCGCCACCGCGCTCTTTATAAACCTCGGCCGTTCCCAGAAAAGTGGGACAGCCACAAACCCCTGCGCGAAAGCCTCTCCTTCACCCTGTCCACCCTTGGCATCAGACTACGCCGGTGACGAAGAGTTCTAAGACGACCTCTGCGCGTCCATGTGGGCGGATCCGCCGATGCTGCCCACAGCTCCTCCGGCGTCCCAACCAGCGGCGCTCAACCCATCAGAAATAATGAGAGAGACCTGGGACGAAGAGCGCTTGGACGACCTCTGCGCGTCCATGTGGGCGGATCCGCCGATGCTGTACACAGCTCCGCCGGGTTCGCAACCAGCGGCGCTCAACCCGTCAGAAATGATGGGAGACTCCGGTGACAAGGAGTTCTGGGAGGACCTCGGCGCGTTCATGTGGGCGGATCCGCCGATGCTGTCCACAGGTCCTCCGGCGTCGGAACCAGCGGCGCCCTACCCGTCCCTGCGGGAGTCCGCCGACGCAGCCTCGGACGACAGGAGACAGTCTGCAAGAATGCAGATGCCAGCGGAGGACTTGGGGCGTCGGTTGATCCATAGTTCATCCGACGTGAACGGTGAGATGGTTGCACCCCATCGGTGCAGGAACGGCCTTATCGACCTCCATCACCCGCAGAGCTTCGTTCCCTTCGACCTGCACAACCTGCCGGCCCTCGCGTTCAACGCGGCGGCGACGAACCGCGTACTCTCCGGCGGCGCACTAATGGAGCCACGGACCTCGTACAGAGCTTGGTGGCTCAGAGACGATAAGCGCAAGCAGTCCGTTCCATGGACGGAAGAGGAGCACCGGTAAAAGCAGAGCGCCGCAGTTTCCCCGTCGCTCCGCCGTACCTGCCCCTCTCACCGCTAACTCGTCTTCTCTCCCCATGCAGGAGTTTCCTGCATGGAATGCAGAAATACGGCAGCGGAGCCTGGGGCAAAATATCCAAGGAATTCGTCAAGACAAGGACGCCCAGCCAGTTGGCCAGCCACGCACAGAAGTTTAGAATCCGTCAGAGCAAGGCGGCGGAGGAGCGGAGGCGGAGCAGCATCCTGGATATCACCAAGGACTGATCATGAAGAGCGAGAACCAATTGTTCACGAAGACACTCCGCTGCATATTCTTCCGACCACACGGACCGAGATTGACTTGAAAACGGAGGACCCGTTAGGAGCCATGAAGCCTTGACCAACAGGGTCCTCTTAAATTGTAACATTCTTGTCATTACCACCCTGTTATCCACAGCTTGTTGGACCCACGCATCAGTTTTTAGAGGCGTTTGCGTTCTTCTGTCTAAAATGTACGCATGAATGGTAAGCAGATAGAAGGCCAAATTGACCAATTCAGATCATACGAGACCCCTATTTTTAGACGTATCTTGCGGTCTTCTCTACACAATGAATGCATGAATAGAAGGCAAATCGAAGGCCAAATTGGCCGATTCAGATGATACACTGCCATGTCACCTGGGGGCTGTGCTGCTTGAGGACACAGAGAGAGAGAGAGAGAGAGAGAGAGAGAGAGAGAGAGAGAGAGAGAGAGAGAGAGAGGGAGAGGGTACTGGCGGGATCCGAGTGGGTAGAAAAAGCACCAACTTTTCAAGCAAGGGTGACGTACAATAGGCTTAATGACCAATAAAAACATGGTCAGTGACCATATTAGTTTCCGTAAATTAATAATGTTAAAGACAACAATGGGCTTCCATATCCCTCATCAAGTTCATACACCGCCGTCAACCATCATCGGTAACCACGCAACACTCCGCAAACTCCAGAGGCCACCGATCTGATGGTCACCGCAGCTTCAAGTCAGTCTTTCACGGAGGCCCTTAATATCTTCACCTCATGAATGGGCCTGGAATAGACACAAAGAGGAAATATGACATCCGCCCGATAATATCATCATAAACTTTAAATAATCTGTAGAAATGAAAAGTGCTGAAGATGTAACAGATCCAATGGCTGAAATAAAACAGATAAATGACTGCCGAGATCCTAGAGTAGCAGAACTCCCTGGCTGACAGCAGTTCAAAGAAAAAATTGGTGGGCAATTCGATTATTATCGTCCTCCCACCTCTTTGTTGGGCATTGGAATATATTTCCGCAGCATTTTCTCCCCTTTATGGTCTCAGGCAATTAAACTGACATACATTCTCATCGATGAAGGAACCCTTTTTAGTCTTTTTCTATTTTTTACATTTCATTAATACATAGTTGTAGAGAAGGATTTATTTCTTTTGTGACATTAAACCTCTAAATAACCAGGAACAGTACTCATGGAATTTCTCAAAAGAATGTGAAACAAAGAAGGAGTTAAGGTTTTCTATGTGAAGGAAGCAGACTAAATGGGACATACCGCCTCAGAATTCAAGGGTGGTTAAGTGTATTTGAATAGTTTCCATGGCAATCAAAGATGCGTGGTTTAAGCCACCAGGAATCGCCCTGAAGCATATCCCCTTTACTGCTGCTGTTCTCCTCAAATCCCTGACCCAGAATGGGCACTGTGCAATGGGCACTGTTCTCCTCAAACTCATCTCTCCCTCCCTCCCTCCAACCCACCCACCCCCCCAAAAGTCAAATATATTTCTTCAGAATTTCAGCATTCTTCTCTGCAGCTTTGTATTCTCCCTTTTCTGTTTCTGAAAACAGAGCCCGCAGGCAATCGGTGTACTCCAAGGCCATGATTTTTCGGTGTTTCAGGGAGTCAAGCTTACCTGTCATTCTTATCCGTCTGCACACTTCCCAACCGCTTGATTACATCCATCCCTGAACACACTCGACCGAAGATGGTGTGCTTTCCTGCAAAACGAAGGAGTGGAGGAAGTAAATCGCAGGCTCAGACTCAAGTCCCGAGAATATCATCCTGGTACTCTCCAAGCAGCTTAAGGTATTCTATTAACAATCTGAAGGTCTCAGCCATCGTTGATCAGCATTCGACAACAGATTGGGCTCGAGAAAACTCATCACAAGCCATACGCTACGCTAAGGAATGATACACAGATGCATTCACCATCCAACGATTGAGCCGGCGCGAGGGTGATGAAGAACTGGCTCCCATTAGTGTTGGGGCCAGCATTCGCCATGGAGATGATCCCTGCTCCCGTGTGCTTCAGCTCTGGCCTTATCTCGTCCTCAAACTTGGAACTGCAGGAGCGCACAGAAGACGAGAAAGAAAGAAAGAAGAGGGAAGGAATTTGCAGCATTAGATCACAAGCCGTCCCAAGAACAGACTCCATGGCTTCGACATATCCATGAAGATCGTATGCCCTAGAATAGCATCGATCGTTCTGAAACCCCGCTATATGAGTCCACAAGTAAATCCTCTGGAACCCGGTTATGGAGGCAAACAAGAGAACAAACAGAGATACTGACCCGTAAATGGACTCCCCGCCCCTCCCCGTCCCCGTCGGATCTCCGCCTTGCACAACGAAGTCCTAATCCAAACAGAAACCCTAAAAAGGGTTAGACCAAGAATCCAACGAGAATGAAGATTGACAACGGGGAGAAATAACCTCCGTAAACCTTGAGAAGAAGAGGAAGATGGGAAGAGGGGGACTAATCAGGGAGACCTTGATGATCCGGTGGAAGACGACGTTGTCGTAGTAACCCCTCCTGGCGAGCTCCAAGAAGTTCCTGCACGTCTTTGGGGCGTGCTTGTAATACATCTGAAGAAGCGTAAAACCAGGATCCGTCATCCTCACCAGAAAAAGCACAGATCATTCCCAGAAACACAGACAGTGGCAGGAGGACAGGCACCTCCAGGGTGAAGGGCCCCATGGACGTCTCCAGAGTGACCTCCGGCGCTGCCCCATCGCTAGCTCCCCACATCTCCCCCACGCTTCTCGCCGAAACCTACTGCCGAGTTCACCAGGAGAAACCCGGAACGATTGACCACTCGGTGTGATGCTCATCCCGTCTCACCAGTTTATACGGAAACTCTCGAGTGTACTTACCGCTCCTCTGGAGAAGAATCCCCGTTTTCAATTAATCCCTGGGTTAAGCTTTAGAGAGAAGGTGGGCTCACTCCAATCAATCATTTACTCAAATCTTAGAGCGAGAGAGAGGGTAGGTATGGCTGTTATGAAATTTCAGCCAGGGAGAGAGAGAGAGGGGGAGAGGATACTCGGGATGAATAAAAGTACTAGGGAGCATGACAGTTGGTGCCAAGAAGCAAAGATTTGACTCATCCTGGAGAGGAAGCCACACTGTTTGACTATTTCAAGATCTCCCCCCAGAGAACATAACGTTGACGAATTATATAGGCAACGATTCGAAGGCGCCGCTCACAAAACCTTGAACCCATCTGACAAACTCACATCTGGGTTAACCGCGTTGACCAATCCCGCCGCAGCTCCAACGTAAGCCTGCGGAGTCAGACTTAAAAGACCGGATTTTGCTTCCTCGGGTAACTCCAGGCCCTCCACAAAGTCCCTGATCCTCTCCTTGGTCACTGACTGCCCTCTGGTCAACTCCTTGAGCCTCTCGTACGGCTCAGGAATTCCATATCTCCGCATCACCTACAGAAATGGACAAGAAGTCAAACCCCGAATAAAACGAAGATCAAGGAATGATAAAACATGAATTAATTCGAAGCTTTCAGACAGGTCAAAGAGAAGGGGACGGAAAGTACGCACTGTCTGTATGGGTTCAGCGAGCACCTCCCAAGACTGCTCCAAGTCTTCGGTCAAACGGGATTCATTTACCTGCAGCCATGATCGATCAAACTGAAGGAGATGGTCCATATTTTTCACGTGATCATAGCCCATGAACTCGAATAAAAATTCTTAGCTGGTTCGATAATGCCGATGGTGATTCCGGTTAAATATTATTCCAATATTTCGATACGTTGACCCAGAAAAGTCTTAAAGACCATTTCAAGAACCTCATGACGTAGATCCATGGCCTACCTGCAGCTTTCGGATTCCTTGGAGAGCACTTTTATAAGCAAGAAGAGAGTAGCCAAGGCCCACACCCAAATTCCTCAAAACAGTCGAATCTGTCAGGTCGCGCTGCCAACAATAATAAAACAAAGAAAAGATAATATAAACTACAAATAAATAAAAAATCGGGCAGGTCAATGCTATGAATAAAAACTAAAAATATATATAAAAAATGGTCGGTCAATATTATAAATAGAAATGAGTAGATTCATATTATAGATAAAAATCTGTCGGGCTATGCTGTCAACAACAACAACATAGATAAAAAAATGGTCGGTCAATATTATAAATAGAAAAAGAATGGGTAGATCGATAGTTTAAATAGAACAAGGAATAGAATTCCATTGTAGAAAAAAAAAATTGCAGGTTCATGTGTCATCCCGAACATAGCAGAGAATGTATACCTGCCATCGAGAAATGACCAACTTCCCACTAATCCCCGACAACAGAGCATTGGCCAGAGAAAGGTTGCCCTCGCTGTTCTCAAAATCTATAGGGTTTACTTTGTGAGGCATAGTTGAAGAACCGATTTCTCCAGCCTTTACAATCTGCAAATAATAAGAAGAAAAGGAGGTCCCCCTTATGTCCCAAAGACTCAAACGAGATAATTTCCAGCCCACTTTGGAAAATATCTGTGCAGTTCATCTCCTGAACAAAGCTAGAATTCAACTGGTGGGAAGGAATCAACGCAAAGAAACCTGCTTAAAGTAGCCTAATGACACGTAGCTCCATATATCTCTGTCAAAATCGACCAAAATGTTGTTGAACAGGGCAAATGCTTGGAAAAGTCTTGCGATGTAATCATGAGGCTCAATCTGCAGGTGCAAAGCATGACGATTCTTTTAGTAGAATAGTAAATATGATAAATCAAGCAATTGGTCTAAAATAAGTCGAATGAATTCAAGTAGAAGAAATTATAGAATTCTTAAAAGGGTAAAGAGCATTTTTCTTGTCAAAAATTTCTAACCAAGCTTTTTGTGCCAGAAAAACGATGTATAATACTAAAAGAAATGAAGCAGAGAAAGGGAAAAAAATGATAATTTCGACGAGGGAAGAGCAAAGAAAAAGAAACCTGGGTCACATAGGGATTGAAACTAATGCCGAAGGATGTCACAAAGTCCTTTGAAACGGTGGTCCAATCAATATCAGGGTATGCAGCCATGTGGGCATTGTAGTTTCCAACGGCACCAGCAAATTTACCCAGTATCTGAATTTTTGGGAACTCCTTGCCCTGTTCGCTTAGCCTATGAGCGAAAACCAACATTTCCTTCCCCAAAGTAGTAGGTGAAGCAGTCTACAGAAGGCAGGAAGAATAAATCAGACGCTGTTGAAGACATTCGAAGTTAGTCAGAATTTTTTTCAGAATTGCATAAATAGACTATACACCAATGAATGAGCGAGAAACTCCAGCAACTTTGAAATGAGCCATTCAACCGATGTAAGTGAAACAAAACAAACAGAACGCTACTACCTTCTCACACTTGAAGGAAGAACAGCATTCTGTTTATAGAAAGATGTCTTTCGCATTTTACTCTAGTTGCATCTCCTAGATTATTTTCCAGGTATATAAACCATACATTTTGAGGTCATATGTGAAAGGCAGAGGTGATTTCTACCGATCATTGCTATCTGTTTATGTACATTGGCTGAGCTCAAAAGGCTAATTTAGGTCCACTTGAGATCAGATTCCGGTTGAAGTGTACTGATTCGTACAAAAACATCAGAAAGGTAAACTAAACCACAGAATCTAGACAGTCGGCAAATGGGGACGGAAATGGATACATGAATGATTAAAGCTATACTAGGCATATCTTCCCAATTGCTCTGTAAGAGTATCACAGTGTCATGGATAGACTCCAACTCATTCGCTGGATTCAACATAATGGGAGATTGTTCGCCATAAAATGAAATAGGGACTCTTGAAAACATGGAAAACATTGTTAATATAGTTTGAATACCTGACCATGAGTGCGTGATAACATAGAAACACTCGCATTTTGCTTAGCCATGTTGTATATCGCTTTACATAGCTCAACCATGGTGGGGAATATGACATTATTGAGAGCTTCCTTCAAAGCCAACGCATGGGCAAGATTGTTGATATCTTCTGATGTGCAAGCAAAATGGAAGTATTCAAGCACCTGACGGAAAATAGAAACATTTTAGTTCACAGAAATGCAAAAAACATAAGACAATCTGAGATCAACTCATCTGCTTATAAAGGAGGAGATTTCTTAGGCTCTCTCAAGAACTCTTTTTACGTCTTATCATCAGCCCACAGACTCATCCAAAGCCTTTGGGCTGATCAGTTGTGCAGGACAAGGGCCTCTACCTGGGCCAACAGACAAGAACAAGCTGTCCTGCAGAGTCTGACGGCTGGCCAAAACCCGAGAGGTTAAGGATACAGAAACTCTATGCAGGAGGCATCAGTGGGTGAACCATTCGAAGCCAGCCGCGGATAATAATTAATCTCGAGTTGGGTACTGTGGGCACACACAATTCATGAAGCCAAAAGAAAGTTCAAGAGAGCTGGACGACAGAAACCTTGGCAATCTCTGGGTGGTGCTGACATTTCTTTTTCAGGAAATACTCCACCGCTTTGACATCATGATTCGTCACTTTCTCAATATTTTTCACGTCCAAAGCGTCATTTAGGTCAAAGCCGTACATTACTTGATCCAAAAACGAGCGAGCATCCGCACTGAAGCTTGGCACCTCAGTGATTTCAGGAATTTCAGATAGTTTCAGCAGCCACATGACCTAAAAGATGATCATATCACAGTGAATCTAAAAAACACATGTAAATACGACAAGAAGCAATAAAATAGAACTTTTAGAGCAGCCCAGTACCATAAGGTAATCCGATATAGTCTTAGCAAAATCTTCACCATGAGAACTAGACAGTGATCTTCATTAGTTTCAAAGGTTTAACAAAGCAATATTTCAGCCAGTACACGACGCCAGACAGCCCATGAACAGGCTCACACCGAATTCCATAGAAATGAGACGCAGTAAATGACGCATTGATAATTCATGGATGTTACATTTAGCCCTACCATGAGAGTACGGAATCAAGGAGTTTCCAAAGTCGAATAAAACAAAAATTTCAGACATTTTATATCAGTTAAAAGATAGATCTAATGCCACCGTCACTGGAAACCATGTTGTCCCCAATGTCCGACAACTTCGCAGAGCACTGTTTGATCCGAGTAAACAGAAAAGAAACGTACAGGCATGGAAGCGTCGTGCGAGCTGTGCAAGCATAGATAAGCCCAGAATGACTTCAAGCACCAAGGCAGCAATGACTTCAAGCAACTATGCAGCTAAATATATGGCTTGCTTCAAGTAGTACCTCGACTATGACACGGTACCGTATTAGCCCATACTCGCTGAAGAAAGGCCGGAGATCCCTAACCTTCTGCTCGTACCGGCCATCCAGAGGCGATACAGCCGTCAAGCTGCAGATATCGAGGTCAGGGAACTTACCGACTCCATTCCTCATTGCCTGAGACGCCAGAACAACCACAAAATCAAATTCCAATCATTACATGACAACCACAGCAACCCACAGAACGACGGTAGAAGAGAACGATCACGCAAGCTTTTACCTCGGCGGGAGCAGAAGCCCTGGAATCATCCGTCGAAACCCTGCAACGGAGCACGCCTAGGGAAGAGACCCACGAGGGGAAACCGCTGGATGGTCGGCACTGGATCGTCCTGCAAACATGCGGAACCGACCACCGTTCGTAGATACCGCGGGCGCAGGCCCCACTACTACACCTGCTGCTCGAGGACGTGAGGCATGCGCCGAACTCCATGCCCAGAAATGGGACTCACTATTGCCCTAGCCGTTGGACTGCCTGTTGCTGCCTTGGGAACAATTTGAAACCCTAGCCTCCCAATCCTGATCGCTCCCTCCCTCCCCGCGCTGACCACACCTCTGTCGTTGTCCTGCTTTATGGTCAACTCGCCGGCGAGGAGAAGCTCCTCTCATCTCATATCTAGCAGCCGCGCGGGGTTGATGTCAAACGTTTCTGCTGGCAATTGGGCCGGAAAAGTTTCTCTCTTTTTCTGTTTATGGGCGTCTTAAAATGGGCCAAGATTATACGGCCGGAGATAAATTTGAAACTCGCTGTAGGCCCGGTGGCCCATTAGTGGTAGGCCCGGTGCCTCCAGATTATTACACTTGCTTTATTCAACAGTAGTCGCACAGGTGCAACAACTGTTCTCTCTCTCTCTCTCTGTGTCATCTCTCTATATCTCATGTGATGTCCAATGGATATGAACTGTGAGCTCCATGGAGCTAGCAAACTGCTCCCCGTTCCAACCTGCCAAACTGCACCACCATGGCAACAACTCTCCGGGGAAGGGATGCTGTAACTAGATCGCCTCCTGGGTCTGTATATATTTCGATGCCATCCATGGCGGAAGAGCATCAGAAGACGTGGCCTGCAGTTCTCTCTAGAGGTGCCTCTCCATCGTAGAGGATACTCACGAGCGACCATGGCCGCTGAGGGCTCTTCCACCGTGGTCAACATCGATGCCGCCGCCGCCGCCGCCGCCGCTGCCGACGCCGAAGCGAGGGGAAAAGCTCCCGCAGCTGTCCCTCCCCCACCGCCGGCCCCCGCCGCGGCCAAGGCGGCCGCACCATTCGTCAGGTTCATGTCGAAGACCAAAGCGAAAGGCGGGTGGAAGAGAGGCGTCTTCTGCTTCGACCTCTTCCTCAGGATCTTCGCACTCGGGGCTTGCCTCACGGCGGCGATTCTCATGGGCACCGCCGACGAGACCCTCCCCTTCTTCACCGAGCTGTTCCAGTTCCACGCCGAGTTCGACGACTTCCCCGCCTTCACGTGAGTGCTCGCCCGCCGGAGCCGGACTTCCATGGATTTGCAGACCCGATGTGCACTAAACCCACCGTCTTCATGTACTTGCAGGTTCTTCGTGATCGGGAACGCGGTGGCGGGCGGGTACCTCCTCATCTCCATTCCCTGCTCGCTTTTCGGAATCGTACGACCTCGCCCAGTAGGACCGAGGCTCCTCCTCATCATCCTCGACACAGTGAGTCCCCTCTCCGGACCCCCGATTCGACCCGCCGGTGCTCCGTTCGTCCCTTTCATTTCACGGTCTTCCCATCGCCAACGCAGGTCATGGTGGCGCTAACGACGGCGGCGGCGGCCTCCGCGGCGGCGATCGTGTACCTCGCCCACAACGGAAACCAGAGGGCCAACTGGGTGCCCATCTGCCTGCAGTTCAACGACTTCTGCCAGCGGACCAGCGGCGCCGTGGTGACGTCCTTCGCCGCCGCCGTCCTCTTCATGCTGATGGTCGTCATGTCGGCTCTCGCTCTCCGAAAGCACTGAGCTTTGACCTGTGCTTCTCCGGTGTTTGCTCTCCCTGCGTGTCCCCCCCGCTTCGCTTCCCATTCCATCGTCCGTCATCTCACTTTCCCTCCCCCATCTCCTGCAAGAAAAACTCGATATTTCGTGCAAAAAAAAAGAGAGAGAATTCTCGTATTTATCTCGCCGTCTGTAATGAATGTAATCTACGTAAATGGAGATATGTAACAGCAGTTTGTTTGAACCATCATGCTCAAAATCTAAGGAGAAAACCTTCCTCTGAACACGCCAAGGATAACACTAGAGTAGCCACTTTCGTCTCGGATCAGTGGGCCCAGGTCAACCCAACCTCACTGCGACGACGCCACCCTTCTTTTCTCCAGAAAAATCCCGTTGACAGTTTCAACGGGCAACGCGTAGGCAGGGTCAACGGGCTTCACTCCCGGGTACTCCAACAGAGAGAGCCCTGAGGAACCAACCCCGGTCAAAATCCCGATTCAGCGACCCAGGCATAGAGTCAACAGAGGTCAACGCTATGTACCTGCGACCCCGAAATAGGTGTGGAAGATGTCGACGGCGTCGTCCGGCCGATCTGAAATCCCACCCTTCTCCTTGTCCTGGAAGATGAGAAACTATCAATAAATAAAAAAAGTGGACTTTTTTCTCAAGGGCGAGGGAGAGAGATGTCGTCGGCCTGGGTGATGACCTGGCAGTCCAAGATGAACTTCGCCAGCTTGTCCTTGTCAATCCAGTGCACCCGGTCGATCATTATCAGGCTTGAAAGAACCCACCACGAATAGCAAACCTGAGGTAGGGAAACAATGAGGTAAAGAAAGAAGATCTGCGGCACAGCCTATTTGAGGTAAAGAAAGAAGGAGGTCCTCCTCCTACATCAGGGAGCTTCTCGGGGCGCCCATTCAGACCTCCGGATTTGACCTGCCGCTCACACAGCCACCATCCAAGAAGGTCCTTGTCGACATGGTGCAGGGAGCCCGTTATTGCCAGAGCGCCGACGCAACAGAAAACTGCAGAAAAATGATGAATTTTCTTCTGGACAATGCAGGCAGATAAACACCAATTCTAGTCACACGAATGATTGAAAAAAAATATAATTGGGTTGTTTTTAAAATGCAATTACTATTCGCTGAAAAGAGCTGAAAGAATCATAAATCATAAATAAAATTTTCTTTGGAAAAACATGAAACAAACGCCGGTTTTAAGCAAAAATAATTTAACAAAGTATTATAAAGGGTAATTATTTTCATAAATACAAAAAGAAACAACAATGGTGAAGGCTGAAAAATATAACAATCGAGAAATGGCACCCCAATGCACGTCTTTTGAAATAACTAGAAGATATGAGGTGGAGCCCCTGATTCAAACTTTCTTCCCGACCTTCTGGGTTTTCTTTAATAGATTGCCTCCGCCATATCTATCATATAAATCAGAAGTTTATTTATTGTTATGCATGATGATTCTTAGCGGAGGAAGACATACTTTGGCCTGCATGAGACTCCGCCCCGGGAACGCACCCAAAACCTCCATCCAGATTCTTGCAGCTTACAACATAGCTTACAGCCTTGGCAACATTGATCTTATCCATGCGGTGCAGCAGTGAGAGGCAACAAATTGCACAGTAAGAGAACCTACAATTAATAAAACATTAAACGTAAAACATTTAATTAAATAAATATACACGTTAACATAATAGGAAAAAAAACGGTGTCAAGAACCTGGTGTCGATTTCACCCCATTCATCACCTGAGAAGGATCCATCTTCATTTTGAAGCCCCGTAACATCTATGAGAATTTAAGTGAAACCAAAAAACAAAACTGCGGGAGGGGCTTTTGAGCCAAGAACATGATACTAAGAACCATGCTCATCAAGTCAAGAAAGCGCAGTAGAAAAGCGACCCTGAATTACTTCACTGGTCAGAACCTGGCATACAGCATTTATAAGGCGCGCATGCACTTAAGCCACTAAACGGAAAGCCCTTCACATAGAACATCAATAAAAAGGGTGGAAAGACATAATGAGATAAGCAAATATCTTTAATGAGGATATGATTCAAAGCTAATCTTTGCAGTAAAAAGCCTACAACGAAAGATGCCCTATGGTCGAAAACTGCTAGTCAGAAGATGTTCAATGAATAGCATTATCTCACAGTACTAGAAACGCAAGTCTGTTGCTTCAGGGAAATCTTTTGATCTGGTCTCTAGGCATCATTCTGCAAGATTGACATCTCAAGGGTTTCAAATCACCCAATTACCTAAAGCAGCAAACCATGATCTCCTTGATGGTAGATGGACCATCCATTGGTTCTTCCACATCTTTCATGGAATTCACATACTACTGTTCGAGCAGCAACGTCCTTCTTCAACAAGACTGAATAAAATCTAACCTTCTCCTTGATATACGACTTCCGCCCCCAGCAAATGAAGTTAGTAGCAATAGAGATGGGTTATTTTTAGATAGGCATAGAGGGTGATGGAAGGAGAAACTGAGGGCGTAGAAACGCTGACCCAAAGATGATTTAATCTAATAAATTGGGCATTAGGCCCACCAAAAGCCTCCCCCCAGCACCCAGTCTCTTATCAAAACCCATCCAATAACTCGTGATAATTATTTGCTAAATGAAGAAACAATGAGCAAAATTTGTGGAAAGACCCAGTCTCACTTTCCCCGGCTAATATTTAGTTTACCGTTCATCTCAAGAGCATAGCATTATTTCAGCATATTTCACAAACTTAATACACTGGAAAGTGTAGCTGAGTTGCAGAACCGAGGTTCTGATAATAGGTGCAAGGAATGCCTGGCCAGAACAGTCACAGAAAATGAGATAAACCGATGGATAGATCCAGAATCTTTGATTCCAAGTACCAACTACTCGAAAAAAACAACATTTCAAGGCAATTCAACTCCATGGATACATCAAAAGAAGGGGTTTCATGATCTCCTTAGCTATTTCAAATTTGCTATAGGTGAAACTGTATTGAAGAACTGATCCTGGACAAGTGATTTTCTCACCCAAGAGAATCAATCTCAAAACATTCACACAAGCCATAAGAACGAGACAAATAATATGGCCGTCTCAAACACTCTGGAGGATGCGGATGGAAAAAAATACATATAAAGATTAGTTATATGTTCGATCTTACGATATTTGAGGATACAATTCGAAACCTTGTCCGCATCTAGAACGTCTAGATTGTCCAACAGCGCCAGCACCTGCACGGCACTGAGGGTGTACAGTATATGAGCATCGTGACCCACATTCCCACCGAAGCCACCTGAAGACAGACGGAGAATACAAGAACATGTGAAGAGAGATCAGGCTTGTATTTCACAATTTCGGCGTTACAATTGCCCTTCTCCAGCAAAAGAAAGAAGGTGAGGTTACAGAAAGCTTCGACCACGATTAGATACGCTGAGCGAAAGGGGTGTTAATGGTATGAACCAGACTCGTGTTGACACTTCAAGACCCAAGAGACGACTTCGTTGCGGTCGAGGGCGCCGAGCTGGTGGAGGAGATCGAGGGTGGTGAGGCCCCAATAAGCCCCGTTCATCCGCAGGTGCTCGATCACTATCGACTCCAGATCATCCTTCCTCTGTATGCCGTGATCCGCGATTAAGCGATGCGGGATTAAGAGAAACCCAAAAAGAAGAAGATAAGGAGAAGAGGAACAAGAATACGCTCTTGATATCCTCAACTCTACGCCAATCGTGCACTGAGAACAGCGATCTTCGAGGAAAACCAACCTTCTCCACTGAGAGAATGTAGCGGGCGTGCTTCTCGGCCTCCAACTCCCCCGCCTCCATGCCTGCCCGCGCCGACACGTCCGAACGGAGGGGGAAGAAGAGGGCCACCCCGTACCTTGGGGAAGAGCGAGTCTCGGTCCGGTCCGAAACTCGGCAGTCGCGCCGCCGGGTCGCTCGCCGATTTCACGCACCCCACGTCGTCCGGCACCGACTCGACGTAACTCCTTCGGCCGTCGACTCGCTCGACTTGCCGATTTAAACAATTTCTCGAATTATTTCGTAAAATATAACTCCTCGAAATATCTCGAGTCATAGTCTTTCCCCAAAAAAATAAAAAATAAAAAATAAAAAATAAAAATAAAAGGGTCATTATTTCGAGAAATATTAATATCATCGATTTTTGTAGACTTTTCCAAACTGTGAAATACGAAACTTCTCGTTCATAATATGCACTGCATTATTTTTATCTATTTTTTGCTATTTTTAATATATATTCCTCGATAACGATTGTTCTATGAATATCCGTACACGATAATTCCATGAAAATAAATAAATAAAATCGAACATAATTAAACGGCTGCAAATAACCAGTTGACTTGGAAAAGATAGAACCGAGTCTTCTGTCCTGTTGTACTAACCGACTCACTCTACGCGCTCTCTCTCTCTCTCCCCGAGAGCCAAGACGGCAGCGGGGCGGCTGGGGGGGCAGGCAATGCAGAGAGCTTCTCGAGCACCGGGGCCAACGTGGCGCAGCTCGAAGTACAAAGAGGACGCCGTCCGGAGGCGGCGGGACGCTGAGAGCAACGGAGAATCTACGGGAGGTATGATTGGATGGGCCCCGCAAACACGGTGAGTCCGGCATTGGGAACCTAAACGGGGAACCACCCATCAAATGTTCGGATCAGACGGGATAAAGTTTTGGCAGGTAGTCCCAATTGCCGGTGCCGGAGAAGACGGCCCGGGGCGGAGGACTTCGACCTCGCCGGCAGCGATTAGATAAGAACGGCGTGGCCCCCCCTTCCGAACGCGTCCGCGTCACCGGGCCGGCAGCGCCGCCGTACCCCTGCCGCCGGCCGGCGAAGAGACGGCAAAAGCTCCTCTCCAGCGCCGCCGCGGGTGCCCTTTCCAGCCGGCCACTCGCCGGAGCTGGTGCGGCGGACTGTTCTCCCCCACAGACTACGGCCCTCGAGCGGCCAGGACGGCGCCGGCGAGGTTCCCCAAACAGTAATTTCCCTGTGGCCGTGTATCTTTCTTTAAACAGACGGCCCCTGTATCTCACTCAGCTTCGGTTTCCGGCGAGGCGATTGCCGGCGGAGTAAATGCGGGGGAAACGGAGTAATCATGGCCACAGGAATTCTGCATGAACGAGTCTTAACTCGCCGGTGCTCATAAGTGAAGCAGTAACTGCTGCCCAGAGTGGCGGGGGCGGCGGCAGAGAGGGAAGGGAGGAGAAGGTGGTACCCTTCCCCCAGCGCCGGAGAAGATAGTGGCGGCTTTCGCTGATTGGGCCCGGCAGCTGGAAAGCGCCGGGCATCAGCTCCCCGACATCCTTACGACGTTGTACTAAGAAACAGTGGCAGCAGAATCTCCCCACTGAGAGGGGGAGAGAGAGCTTCAGGGAAGAAGATTCCCAGAAACGGGCGGTGGGGGAGGGGGCAGGATAAGGCGCCGGCCCCGGAGTATTGTCACTCACTCTCCGCCCACCACGCTGCCGCATCTCGAGCGTCCTCTGGGGGCGTCGGACGGTGAGAGGACGCGGGGGGCTTTAAAGTGGATGGGGCCCGCGGCTTCACCAACCGTATGTAACCGCCTCGATGATTCGGGGGGAGTGGGGGCGACTCTCTGGACCCTTTGGTCTTCTTTTTGGGCGTGTTTTCGTGAAATGGGGAGGGATGGGAGCACGTGCCAAGGCAGGGAACGGCTCCTTTTTTGCCATATTTAACGCGGCCGTTCCAGCTGCCCCGTGTCGGACTCCGATATCCGCCGCGAAAAGCCGTACGTGCGTGTGTGCGCTGACGGCTGTCTACTCTCTCCTCCGCTTCCCTCGACGACCTCTTATCTGGACGCCTCCTCTCATTGCACAACTTGTCGAGCCGAAATCTGCGAGATTCTGTGCCTGCTCGCGAGTTGGGGGGGGCGGGGGGCGGCAGCGAGATGGAGAACGGCGGCGGCGGCGCATCGTCGTCTTCTTCCTTCTCCGGACTGTGGGCGTATGGGCGGGCGCTGGCGCAGACGCCGGCGAGGCTGCGCCGGCGGGCGTGGTCGGTGTCGACGGCGTACGAGGAGATGAGCCAAGTCCGGGCCCGGTCTGGGGCGGACATGCGGAGGACTCTCCGGTGGCCGGACTTCGTGGGCCTGGGCCTCGGGGGGATGGTCGGTGCCGGAGTCTTCGTCACCACCGGTCGCGCCGCTCGTCTCTGCGCCGGGCCCGCGGTGGTTCTGTCCTACGCCACTGCCGGGCTCTGTGCGCTGCTCTCCGCCTTCTGCTACACGGAGTTCGCCGTCGACATGCCCGTTGCCGGGGGGGCCTTCAGCTACCTGCGAGTCACCTTCGGTGAGCGGCGTGGTGGGCATTCAATCGCCGGCGCCGGCGTGGTTATGGCTGTTTTCTTATTCGATTCTGCTCCTGTTCCATCGATGCAGGGGAATTCGCCGCCTTTTTGACCGGAGCGAATCTTGTGATGGACTACGTCTTCTCGAATGCTGCGGTGGCGAGGAGCTTCACGGCCTACTTGGGCACCGCCATCGGAGTCGCCACGACTGAGCGATGGAGGATCACCGTCACCGGCCTGCCGGAAGGTTTCAACCAGATCGATTTCCTCGCCGTCGGCGTCATCCTTGTCATCTCCCTCTGCATCTGCTACAGGTTTCTACCCGCAGAGATATGCGCCTGCTTCTTCCATCTCCACCCCTCCCCCATCTTCTCCCTTCCTCCTCCCACGTCGGCGCCTATACTCTCCCTCTCGGCCGCCGCCGCCCTCTAAATCGAACATGGCTTGTTTCCAGCACGAAGGAGAGCTCTGCGCTGAACATGGCGCTGACGGCCGTCCACCTACTCTTCATCCTGTTCATCATCGTGATGGGATTCTGGCGGGGCGACGTGAGGAACTTCACCCACCCGGCCGACCCGGCGAGCCATGCCGGCGGTTTTCTCCCCTTCGGCGCCACTGGGGTCTTCGACGGCGCCGCCATGGTCTACCTCAGCTACATCGGCTACGACGCCGTGTCCACCATGGCCGAGGAGGCAGAGGAACCCACGAGGGACATTCCCGCGGGCGTCTCCGGCTCCGTCGCCCTCGTCACCGTCATCTACTGCCTCATGGCCGCCTCCATGTCCATGCTCGTCCCCTACGACGCGGTAAGCTCTCCACCTTCCTCCCCGGAAGGGCCTGCCGTCGGTCAGCGGCGGCGCAGATCTCACCTTCTCTTCCCGTTGCTTCCCCTCCCTCAGATCGACGTGGAGTCTCCCTTCTCTTCGGCGTTCGAGGGCTCCTCCGGCGGCTGGCGGTGGGTCTCCAACGTGATCGGCGCGGGGGCCAGCCTCGGAATCCTGACCTCGCTGCTGGTCTCCATGCTCAGCCAGGCCCGGTACCTCTGCGTCATCGGCCGGTCGGGGGTCGTCCCCGCGTGGCTCGCTCGAGTCAACCCTGTCACTTCCACTCCGGTCAACGCCTCCGCCTCCCTTGGTATCGCCACTTTCCCCCTCCGACATGATCTCTCTCTACCTCTCTCTCTAACTGGTTTTACAGGGGTGGCGACGGGGGCTATTGCGCTGATAACGGACCTGAACGTGCTCCTCAACCTGGTCACTATCGGGACCCTCTTTGTCTTCTACATGGTGGCCAACGCCGTTGTCTACCGGCGGTACGTGGTGGCTGGGACGACCAGCCCCTGGCCGACGGCCGCCCTACTGGCGGCGCTGACTCTCTCGTCTCTCGGCTTCACCATGCTGTGGCGCTTCGGCCCGCCGGGGAAAGTCAAGGTCCTGCTGCTGTGCGGCTTCGCGGTGGGCGCTGGCGTGGCTCTGCAGGCGTTCCGCTTCTTCGTGAGCCAAGCGCGGAAGCCCGAGTTCTGGGGCGTCCCACTGATGCCGTGGACGCCCGCGGCGTCCATCTTCCTCAACGTCTTCCTCCTGGGCTCGCTAGATGGCCCCTCCTACGCCCGCTTCGGGCTCTTCTCGGCGTTGGTTGTCCTGGTCTACCTCCTCTACAGCGTTCACGCCAGCTTCGACGCCGAGGGGATCGGGAGCCTCGGCGGCGGCGCTGACGCTGTCGCCGCCGCCGGCGACCTCTCCCTTCCTCCGGCGGCCGTGCACTGCGGAGATTCGAAGGTGTAGAGGAAAATGCTCCGAACAGACGGGCCATCGCCGACCGCGGGGGTCTCGTCATCGTCGTCGTAAAGTAGACGGCGACAGGTCCCGGGAAACACCCAGAAAAGGACAGAATTTTCCAGATCGACTCGTCTTTCTCTCGTCCCTCCCCGTTAATCAAGCGACCGTGTACGTAGGCACCAATGCCAGCGCATATTCCCTCAGATTTATCTATTTTTGGTCAAACATTTATCTATCTTCAAGGATACGATCCGTTGACTTTCTGCCAAGAGAAGTCTTGGAATAGTATTTTATTAATCCGTTCGACAGAGTTAACAAATGGCTTTCCGATTAAAACTAGTTTATTTTGAAGCTTAAAACCCAGGAAGTTTCATAGATCGGAGGTGATCGGCGTCGTTGCGGGTAACCCTCTGCGGATTCGGACAAGACGTCCCCCGTCGCCGGCAATGATCACACACGTGACTCGGCTAGGACGGACAGACGGCAACTCCGCCGTCAAAGGGCTGACTTTTCTCGATCCTCTCCCCATCAGTTCAGAGCGCGAGGAGATCGGCCGGGCGCCGCCGTCTTCCTCTCTCTCCTGCAATTTAATGGAGGGCGGAGGGATGGCTCCCCGTCACGTCTCCTCACGAGGGGAGCGCGAGGCGTCGGTGCGCTGCCGTACATCTCGCCGGCCAGCGAGGCGGCGCCCCCCGCTGTCTCCTCGACCTTGCATTTCATATGCTCTCCCGTGAGGCCTAGTAAAGCTGTGGAGGAGAGAGGCCGGGTCATCCGCTTACCCTATCTCCAGAAAGCGTCCAAGAGGGAAGGTTGACTTTTGGTGGTGGACCTGGATGGCTCACCCTTTCGGATAGAGTAGAGAGAGAGAGGATCGAAAATAGTTCAATATCCTTGTATTAGATTAGGCCATAATAGCATAACTATGCACCCATCGGCAACCGGGCGTATGAAGCATTCTCTCTCTAGGAATGGGAATAAGTAGACGAGTAAAAGAGATGAATGCTAAGCTATGGTGTTCTCCCGTTGACTTCTGTAGAGAAAGCTTCCACGGGCGTAGTCTTGTTAGTATCAGTCGAGCCAGGTTCTCAGGATCCGTATCTCCGTCTTCATCACATCGTTAAACCATTCGGGATCTTCCTCTGTGGAGAACCTCACGTCCACATGGTGGGCTCCTCCGAACAGAATTAATGACGATCATAATGTTTGACAGATAGAGAGAGAGAGAGAGAGAGAGAGAGAGGAGGACAATCGTCAGCAACCCTACCCAACCCCAGGGGACAGCGAGGAGGCGATGATCTTACCCTCCGCTACTTCACGGATCTCTCAGACCACTGAAGACGACGACGATGTCGCTCTTGGACCTCCTAAGCTCCTGTCTCACTTGCCGCCCAAGAATTAAAGCCAAAACAAACAACCCAAGTCAACGCTCGGCGCGGGGAAATCTTCAGGGGCCGGGTTGTCGGCCATGGCCATGTCGGTGATCGTTGTCTCGATCCAGCCTTGAAGACCGTCCAGCGAGATGACGGCGCGAAGGCAAAGCGAGCTCGAGACGAGCTTTAATGGCGATTAGGTTTACACTGTTTGTCATCTCCCCACTTGCAGGTCTTGGAAGCCTTCTCGGGCCTCTCAAGCCCGCCCTGCCGGTCTCCGGCGTCTTCAATCTCCAGCCACGAGTTATCGATCTTCCAGTGGTGGCTCGCGCTGTTGATCTGAATCAGAACCAGACGGGTCGTCATCATCAAACCATAAGTCTTTCTTTCAGCGTAGGAAGATGGAGAGGATCACAACCGTGAAGTCCTTGGAGGTGTTGCCGTTGAAGACGTGGGGTAAGACGCTGCCATCGAACTGAAGAATCGCAGACGACGACGCCAGTCCCGGCGGTGGGTGCTCTCTTGGCGGCGGCACCTCCTCCGGCCATCTGTTGTGCTTCTATCTTTCCATGGCCGCCGTCGCCGTCCACCGGCGACCGAGTAGGCGGAATTGTAGGAGTCCCCATCGCGCCGGTTGTCGGTCATCGGGACCGGTTCGGGTTGGGCCTACGAGCGTGGCCCAGTAGTCTACCGATCAAACGGTGCTCGTGAGATCGATCCTCAGTGTTTCTGTAGGGGACTATTATGCAAATATCTTTCGAGCATTTCTCATGGCTTGCTTGCCCCCTCATCGTGGCTCCTGATCGGTGGCGCCACCGGCCTCCTCTCTCTCTCTCGCTCGCTCTCTCGGGTTCGCTCTATGAGCTTAGTCCGACTGGCAGCCACCGCCGCAGCCTCGTCCACCAGTCGCAACGCCTCCGTGGTGAGCCTGATAAAGGTCTGCAAGAGCTTCGATACCCTCCGGCAGATACACGCGCGGATAGTGCGTGACGGTCTGGAGCAGGACCAGTTCGTCGTCTCCCGCTTCCTCTGCCTGTGCGGCGCCCTCTGCCGCTCCGCCGCGTACGCGCGCGAGGTGTTCGATCGCGTCGTCGCACCCAATCTCTGCCTCTGGAACACGCTCATCAAGGTCCACGCGGAGAGCTCGTCCTTCCCCTGCGCGCTGCAATGCTTCAGGCTGATGCAGCGGAGCGCGGAGGCGAGGCCCGATGGGTTCACCTTCCCGCCCGTCCTCAGGTCCTGCTCCGGCGCGGGGGCCTTCCGCGCTGGCGCCTGCCTGCACGGCGCCGTCCTGCGGCTAGGTCTTGAGGCCGACGTGTTCGTCGGCACGGCGCTGATCGACTTCTACGGGAAGTGCAGGGAGATGCCGTCTGCTATGAAGCTTTTCCTCGCCATGAGGGCCCCCAATGTGGTGTCCTGGACGGCCATGATCGGTGGACACTTGAGCTCCGGCGACCTAGTCTCTGCCAGGGCCTTGTTCGACGATATGCCGCACAGGAACTTGGCCACCTGGAATGCGATGATCGACGGTTGCGTGAAGCTCGGTGATCTGCAGAGCGCCCGCGAGCTGTTCGACGAGATGCCCGAGAGAAACGTCGTCTCCTTCACCTCCCTGATCGACGGGTACGCAAAGGCCGGGGACATGGCCGCCGCGGAGTCCCTGTTCCTCCGCATGGACGAGATGGACGTCTTCTCCTGGTCGGCGATGATATCGGGCTACGCTCAGAACGGCCAGCCCAACGCCGCCATCAAGATCTTCTCCGACATGAAGGACCGCGAGGTCAGCCCCGACGAGCACGTCCTCGTCGGCCTGCTCTCCGCCTGCTCCCAGCTGGGCTGCCTCCAGGTTGCTCGATGGGCCGACTCCCTGGTCTCTCGGTCCCAAGCTGACCTCAAGCGGCCGCACGTCATGGCCGCCCTGATCGACATGAACGCCAAGTGCGGCGACATGGCGAGGGCCTCCGCCCTCTTCGAGGCCTTGCCGCAGAGGAGCCTCCTCACCTACTGCTCCATGATGCAGGGCTACTCCTTCCACGGCCACGGCGCCAAGGCGGCGGAGCTCTTCCCGCGGCTGCTCCTCGAGGGCCTGACCCCCGACGACGTGACCTTCACCGTACTCTTCGCCGCCTGCAACTACGCCGGCCTGATCGACGAGGGCAGGAGGTACTTCGACCTGATGAAGGAGAAATATCGCATCGCTCCCACCGTCGACCACCACGCGTGCATGGTTGACCTCCTGGCGCGGGCCGGGAGCTTGGCGGAGGCCTACGAGCTCATCCTGTCGATGAGCGAGGAGCCCCACGCTGGCGTCTGGGGCGCCCTCCTGCGGGGCTGCTGCGCCTACGGCGAGGTCGAGCTCGGGACGACGGTGGCGGAGAAGCTGTTCGAGATCGAGCCGACCAACGCCGGCAACTACGTTCTGCTGTCGAACATCTACGCCGCGGCCAACAGGTGGGCCGACGTCTCCGAGGTGAGGAGGAGGATGAGGGAACGAGGAATCAGGAAGATACCCGGATGTAGCTGGATCTGATCTCACGGAAACCTGCACATATTTATTATCTGTGGATGGAGGAGAACAGTTCCATGGCGATTTCCAGAGCTGGAAGCTCCAGTTCTCGAAGAAACGTTTATTTGCAGATAGCGATCCTGCCAGCAGAAATACGAAAACAGGCAGCAAGAGTCCGAGAGTGCTGGTTTCTGGCCCGTGTCTTCGTTAGCTCCGCTGAGGTTCTCTCACCAGAACTACGAAGAATCCAAGTAAGCCATGGCGACTGCGGCATGCAGGGCCGCCCCAAAGGGGAGCACGCAATCGTCGAAGAAGAAGTAGGGGGAGTGGAGCTGATGGACGGCTCCCACTGTCTGATTCCTCGTGCCGACCAAGAATAAGGTGCTCGGGATCCTCTGAGAGTAGAAGCCGAAGTCTTCCGCCGCCATCATGGGCTTTGACACGTGGACCTTGTTTCTCCCAACCAGTTCCTCCCCCACCCGCCTGGCAAGTTCGTACATAGCTGGGTCGTTGACCGTGGGTGGGTACGGTATCCTCTCCTCCTCCATGAACATCACTGCCGAAGTGCACCGGTGAGCAGCGGAGTATGCCTCTATAACCTGAAGGAGGAGGGAGAGACTCATCAGCTTTGGTGGGTCAAACCAGAGGAAGGGCATTAGGTCAGACTTCTTACCTCTTTAATCCTTCTTGAGAGGAAGGCGAGCCCTTCATTAGTCAAACTCCGGAAGGTGCCCCCCAAAGTTACAGACTCAGGGATTGCATCCAGGGCATCCCCAGCTCTTACGAACACAACAGAGACCACCTGAGACCACAAATCAGGAGATCCGTTGATGGCGTGTTTCAACGCTTCGATCGAAAATGGAAGGACGGGATGGGTTGACCAACCAAGCAGCTGCCAAGAACAGGGGGGAGAAGCTTACACTAGATTGGATCGGATCAGTTTCCCGAGAGATTATGGCCTGCAGCCCAAGAACCGCAAATGAGGCGGCCAAGACCGGATCATGACCAAGAAGGCGGCCTTTTCCTCTGATCACAGCCATGAATCGGGCGGATGCGGCAAGAAGCACCCCAGATTTTGAGGACAGGGAGCCCGATGGAAGCCGAGGATCAACATGCAACCCAAAGATGGCTCTCGTCTTCTCCAAAGTGCCTTCCTTTAGAACATGGTATGCGCCGGCAAATCCCTCTTCCGCGGGCTGGAAGATGAGTTTCACAGTACCCTTTGGCAGAAATGGGAACGAATCATTAAGAATCTTCCTTTCTTGGAGTAATCAATAATCCATCTACAATAACAGTTGGAGAGTTTTTTCATCAGCTAAGCTTTTTCTGGAATGGCCAATTTTTACCTTGAGGTCGTCCTTTCGGTCCTGAAGCAATCTGGCAGCGCCCAGCAGCATCGTTATGTGCGCGTCATGACCACATGCATGCATCTTGCCTCTATGCCTGCTCTTGTGCTCCCAATCTACCTTTTCCTGAACATTTGAGCTATCGATTAATCAGTTCATAGCAGTGGATCGCTGATGAATCGATGCAATGATAAGTAAACCCACAACAGGTTATGATTCGAAGGGGAAATCTACATCATCCTGATTATTTTACACAATGGAATAGGTGGGTAGTGATGAATGAAGCTCAATGACCCGCGTCTTATGAAACCTATTCGCATAAACAAGTGAGACGCTTCACCAGAAATCTATAGAACATGGGCTTTGCCGTCTTAACAATGGCCGGGCCTTTATCAACCACCGGAAGGATGGAATTCAGAGAGGTGCAATGGGGTGGAATGTCGGTGTAATGAGAAGAAGGAATTGGGCGAGAACATAGCTCCTCGTTCTCTGGCAATCTATTCTTGAAGATCTTGGAGAAGAACTACAACAACAGGGTAATCTCTCCGGATAGGCAAGAACACAGGACTCGACGGGGTCAATCAAAGAGAGACGACGACGGAGACCTAAAATAGCAGGCAAATTAAAGATCATAAATCGCATTTCCCCCAACCGGCTGCTCGAGAATTCCCAAATGGAACCTCTGGGCTCGACCCTATTCGAAGCTCGCCGGCGAAGATCGTCGCACGGACTACAGAAGAAACCCCCGTCGAATTCGACCACAACCAGTGGAGCAAAACGGAGAGGCGAGGGGAGTCATCACCTCCAGAGGGAGAGCGTCCATGTCAGCCCTGAGGGCGAACTCCGGCCCGTCGCCGGGCCCGATGGTGGCGACGACCCCGGTCCTGGCCACCGGCCACGAGTAGTCGATACCGAGGCCTTCGAGCTCCCTCCTGATGAGCTCGCCGGTCATGTGCTCCTCAAAGGCCAGCTCCGGGTGCTGGTGGATCCTCCTCCTCACTCCCTTCATCCATTCGAAGAACTCCGGGCTCCGCGCCGACTCCAGCAGCTGCCGGGGAAGGCTATCGAGTAGGCCCCGCGGGGGAGCCCATGAAGGGTTCGCGATCGAGGTCGCCATGATCAGCGCGAAGAGGAAGAAGGGACCTCGCAGCGAGGCCATGAATAGGCCGCCACACCCGAGCATCCCACTCGATCCTCTCCTGTTCTCCGAGCAAATTTTAATAATTCTGAATATTCAAATAAATGGCCATTAAACAGTCGCAACTGTCGTGCGGCCCATTACAGTCGGGCTCCTTGGACCGATCGTGTGGCCCATGAACGATGAATTTTCAGCCCTTCGGCCCATTAAACACGTCACCATCCGAATAGCGACCATGCCAGCCCAGCAGTGTTTGCTTTCCCTTTTTGTTGCGGTCTAGGCTAGGAATTGACTTGATGTGATGAGAAATACACCTTGTATTGAAGTATGGTACTCAATGTGACTCAAAGAAAGCTATGATTTTATCCATAATACTCTCATGTTGTGTGCCACCAAAACCCTCTTCTAAACATAGAAGCTGAGGCTCATAGTTCCCTCTGGTGAAAGTTAAACCCATATATACAAATGAAATCAGGAAAATAATTCAATGAAATATATATTCACTATGATGAAAATATTATGTTCCTGTTAAAATCAATGAGTAATCTCTATAGTATAACAATAGGGAGGCTTTACATTAGGTTTTCCTTGAACCATTGGTGTTTACATGAGCATCATGACCACATATATGAATCCTGCCTCAATTCGTAGTCTTGTATTTCATTTACACAATTTTTGGATTTAGCTGGTATAAGAAGAGACCCTTGTGATTCATTGTTATTTGTAAGTAAATACTTTAATTCACATGAGTGGAGCATTTATGAATCTACTTGACAAGGGGTACACCTATCGGGTTTGAGAGCCTCAAAGGTTGTGATGTTGAAAAAGAATAATATGGTTTATTGCCATTAATAATGTGAAAATTATCATTAATTATGTAATGTAATTAAATAAGGTGGAAATCTGTCAAGAAAAATTAGTTCACATTTGAGCCCAAATGAGTCAAATATTTTTTAGTTGTAAGCTGTCGTCATAGATATTAGCACACAACAGATTATTATAAAGGTTATTAGAAGAGGAACAAGATGCAATGAAGATTGCATTAAAATTTAAGGATTTCAAATTATTATAAAATTTGCAAGATTAATATTTGTAGTTTCCTATTGATTTCTAGGCATGTGTTACCAAATAAGGACTGCTCAACTAGTAGTTGACCATGATGCTGAGGATCTTCAAGATTTTCTCTTCATAGCAAAACATTTCTCTTGTGAAATTGAAGGATTTCCCCAATGACGACAACCTTGCAGCACAATGTCCGTAATTGAAGGAATTATCTTAATTTTTGGAAAAATTATTCTTCTAGATAATCTCAAAAACCTATAAATCATTGGCTCATCAAGCTGGTTCTTTAGAAACGAGGTGCTTTATACATATTTGAACAATTTATTCACATCTAAATTCTTATAAATTATTAGACCTTTAAATTCTTATAAACTACTTTGGCATTTAAGTCAAATATATGATGTTCGAATTATTTGAACGAATTAATAGTATTTAGAAACATATGTAATGTGGGAACTGACAAAAGTTAGAGCATGGAGATAATTCCCAATAAATGAATTTTTTTATGAAGGATTTTAAATGAAAAATACCCCAAGATTTATATCTTCTATGATGATTAGATCACATGAGGGCCATTAAATTGTTTGGACTCAGAAGTAGAGAGATAAATCTGCGCTGAACCCTTAGAAGTCACCCCCCAACTTGAATTGGGCCAAGCACAAGATGGGGGCTGGCAGCAGAAAAGAGAGAGAGAGAGAGAGAGAGAGAGAGAGAGAGAGAGATGCAGATATATATATATATATATATATATCACAAATGGAGAAGTCATACTTCACAAGGAAAGGCAGGGTACTCGGAAGGAGGTGCCATGTTCCACCACTTAAATGCCGTCGAATTGACTTTCGTCAAACGACTTCGGAGCCTATAGCTTATGGGACAAAGTTGCTATGGATGCTTTTAATTTCCTCTATAGTGTTTCTTGATATGAACATTCGATGGAGAAGTCCACAACATCTTGATTATTTTAAAATCTTGATTAGGTGGGTAGTGATAAAGGCGTTGGTTTCCCTACTACCAGAAATCCATTCTTCTACTACTTTAAATCCATTCACCTACTACTACAAGTGAAAAGTGTCACCAGAAATCTAAATCAAGGTACGAAGAGAGATTGGCTGAAAGTTTGGAAAGACTCTTCTGAGACATGCACTTTGTTGTCTTAACAATTGTCATGTCTTTGTCAATCACCAAAAAGATAAAATTCAGAGAGGTTCAATAGAGTGGAATGTCGGTGTGACAAGAAAGAATTGGTTTTGTAGAGATGAAACTAGTAAAATAGGCAAGAACTTAGCTCCTTGTCCTTTGGGAACTGATTCTTGAAGATTTTAGAGAAGAATTACAATAGAAGAACCTCTCTAGATAGACAAGAACACAAGACTTGACTGGATCAATAAAAAATAAATGATGAGGGAGACTTTAAAGTCAAAGGAATAGAAGGATAAAGTAATTCTACAAAATAGCACAAGTGAGCTTGAGGGCTCTGACATGTTGAGAGAGTATATCTCTAATTTAATATCTCATAATTTGTTTTTATATTTTCGTAGTTGTACACATAACCCTACCATTCTTAACTCAACAATCATTGCATCTAGAGGGAGAGCATCCATGTGAACTCAAGCCCAACGTCATGTGCAACAAGGCCACCGTCCTCAACCTAGTAATGCCCTTGATCATCAATTGCTAGGCAGGGGAGTTTGACCAGGTGATCGCTGTGAACCTCTGGGTGGCCTTTCTAGGCACCAAGCACGCTGCCAAGGTCATGATCCCCACCTGCCGGGGTAGTATCCTCACCATTGCCAGCGTCACCTCCACCCTTGGTGGCTTGAGGACCCTTGCCTACACCAGCTCAAAGCACGGTGTTGTGGGGCATGGAGAGTGTTGACTGTGTCAGTCCATCACAGCTGACCCATTTAGGAGACGTGTGAGAGAACCTCTCCCGTCTCAACTATTTGGGAGACGTGAGAGAGAGCTCTCCAATTTGACTTACTTGAAGGCGTGCAAGGAGTAAGGGGATGGTGACACAATAGTCATGTCGACCCTTATGACTCATTTCGGGGGTCGTGTAGAGAGAGATCGAGGGTGGTTATAGTCGTCATATTCGAGATGTGTGGACTCGGCTGCACATAGATCAAGATGCTTCTTTTTAGGAAGCGGTTATCTTTTCTTGTTTCTATAAATATGACATATATTTCTCTTTTTATGAGTATAACGTATAACTATTTTTCTCTTGATTCTATTCTCTCTCTTCATCAACTCTATTCCTCTTCTTGATATCTTCTCTCTTTTCTATTATAGAGGAAGTCTTTATAGAAAGAGATAATAGTCTATTGTTGAACTTTTAGTGTGTAAGTCATCTCGGGGGCATTGAGATATGGATTAGGGGTGTTTTGTGGAAGTCTTGTTCTCATCAAGATTTCTAATAGCTTAGTGATTTTTCTTCTATTTGTTCTCCTTAATATCTAGAAATTGAGTTTTCGCTGTTATTGTGATCTTATACTTGCATATTTTATTCTACAAGTGGTATTAGAGCATTGATTTGATTATTTTAAATTTACTATGACTTCTAAGGTGCTTAATGACATCTAAAAGTTAGATAATTTTTCTAATTTTAATCTCTAAAAACATTGTGTGTATGATGCGTTGTTGTAGACTGACTTGTATAAGACTTTGGATGGTCCAAAGTTAGACAAGATCAGTACTGATGATTGGGAGATAATAAAGAAGAAGGTTAGAGGTTTTATTCATACATGTTTGTTTGATTAGGCTCTTCAGTAGGATATGGATGAATATAATCCAAATGAACTCTAGAAGAAGTTGAAAAAATAATGTGTACCAAAGTTAATGATGAGTAAATTAACATTAAAGAGAAAACTATTTAGATTACACATCATATGAAGATGATTTGTCATCTCATATATTGATTATTTTAGTCAATTACTAAATGACTTACTTCATATAGAATCAAAATTTTCTAATGAGAAAAAGTTATTATTTTGTTTGTTTCTCTCCCTAATTCATATGATCATCTTATTACGACCTTATTGTATGATAATACAACACATGTTTTTGAAGATGTTATTGACTTATTGATAGAGTATTATCATCAGAAGAAGGATGTTGATGAAGCTCGTGGTGAAGGTTTATATGCGAAGGTTGGAAGAGAACGTAGAAGGTAGAAGGAGAAAAAATCATCAGGAGACAAGAAGGGTTGATCTAAGTCACAGACAAATTAATTGAAGAACTAAACTTGTCATAAGTGTAATAAGAATAGAGACTTATGAAGAGATTATTCGAAGAACCACAACGATAAAATAATAGAAGGTGATTTTTCTTTTGCTAATGTTAGGAAAATTGAGGACAGAGAAGATGGTGAAATCTATTCTGGACTTGTTGCAGCTGAGTTGTCGAATACACGGATTCTTGATACTAGTTGTTCTTATCATATGTGTCATCATGCTGACTAGTTTTACTCATACAAAAGTCCAATAGGAGTTATTTTTATAAGAAACAATGTAGCTTACGAAGTTGTGGGCATTAGTTTGATAAAAGTTCAAATGTTTGACAGAGTGATTTAAGAGCTTGAAAATGTTCGTCATGTTCTAGCATCACACCAAAATTTGATTTCACTTAGAGTATTAGAAGTGAATGGATGTTACTTTAAAGGAGAGAATGAGATCCAAAAGATTATAAAGTGATCACTTATTGTGATAAAGAGAAGACGTCAACGAACGAATATTTATAAACTTGAGGGAAGTACTATTGTAAGTGGAATTTGTGTTGCGACATTGGATGATTCCATGATTAATGACACACTTTTATGGCACTTGTGATTGGGCTATATGAGTGAAACATGTATGCAGAAGCTATATACACAAGTACTACTACCTAGTGTGAGAACTTGCAAATCGAATTTTTGTAAGTACTGTATCATGAGAAAATAGTGCAGGGTGACATTGAAAACA